TGTAAGGTGCCCCTGCCCATGGCAGGGGGTTGGAACTGGATGAGCTTTAAGGTCCCTTCCAACCCAAACCAGTCTGGGATTCTATGAAGAACGCAGGTTTCTTTCTTTATTAAGAACACTAACGCTTGAGCTACAAAGTGCAAACAAGCAGATCTCTGTCGGTCACAGCAAATTGTATTTACTTGAACAGAGTACGGCTGCTGTCTGCTGACCTTGCTAAAGTGTTCTGGGGACTGACGGGTAAGATCACGGCTTGTGACAGAGCAAGGAAGCCCAGCAGGCTGTTAAAACACAAAGAAGATTTCAAAAGTCAGTGATCTACATGCTGTGACGAGGGTGAGGAGAGTCACAACGTCAAAAAAAAAAGCTTTCCTGTGTAGGGACTGAAGCAACGGAGACCCCTATCCCCACCCTGCGCTGTCCAGCCCAACATAAAAACAAGCAAAAAGGTGACTGGCAAATGGCACAATTTATTTAGTGTACAACAGTCATGGTATCGCTTCACAACAACGAATTGTAAAAGAGCTGTGTTAGATCTCACTGGCAGAACACTGAAACGAGAGATGAAAACACACCTCGGATGGAACTGGGAGGCCTGTCTCCCCTGGAAACATTCCGGCTACTTGAGAAGCTGCTGTCCCTGTCATCTAAGCAGCTGTGTCACTGGGGACGCCTAAGCTAGAAGTTCCCCCGACAGGAGGTCGCGGGCACGGGACGTCGCGGTGATGCCATCACCCCGCTCGTTCTTTGTAAGACGGGCAAAGGCATCGCCACGAGGGTCCTCCCGGGGGCGGATCGTGCCGACGCCGCAGCAGCCCTTGGCACCGTGGCGCAGCGGGACGCTGGAGTTCAGGAACAGCGGGCGTTGCTCTTCAACAAATTGCAAATTCTTAATGCAGCGACTATAGGTCACAGCAAGGTGGGAAAGGAGAGGAAACCACCCCCACCTACCCCCCAGAGGGCTCGCAGCCCTACAGCCGGGCCCTGGGGACAGGAACGCAGCCACTGCCCCCAGTCCCACAGCACCGACTCCCCGCGCTCCAGCTTCCCGCGTGCTCTGCGCTGGGGGACAGGCCCTGAAATCAGGGAGAGCAGCAGCCGCCCCACCCCGCGCTGCTGCGCTGCTTCCTGCCCCGCTGGTGGTGGCTTTGTGCCCCGGCATCCCTGGTTTTCCGCCTGAAGGAGACGGGCCTGCGGAGTCACTGCCACGGCCCTTCCTGTCAGCGTTCAGTCTGACACAGAGCTGCTGGTGTCGTCTGAAGGCGTCCCAGCCTACCCGGGCCTTGAACGCTCTGACCTCCAGGAAAGCAACCTCCAAAATACCTGCTGGCTCGGACTTGGGATTCCTGGTGAGCCACTTGGCGGGATGTTGGTGCTGCAAGAAGAAACCGTGACTGTGGTGGTTCTGGTTCATGGCAGCCGTTGATTTTTACCCTTTCCCAAGACCTACGGTAGCACGGGGTCTGTTTTGTCTTAAAAAAACGCAAACAAAACAATTTGCACTTGGCAGTTTCTGAGGAAAAGGTTAGATTTCTCCTCTGGTAACATTAGAGACAGTGTCTGAAAAAAGGCCTGTTTACAAATAACCACTGTTAGAGTCAGGACTTCTCAGTCTCAGCTGTTACCTACAAGTTAATCCTGAAAAGGACAGGGAATCGTTTGGAATCACCAGATCTTGGAATCTCTCATTTCAATCAGAGGAGGGTTACTGCACCTTTAAAGAAAGACACAAGCCCATTTTAGATGGAGGCAGTAGCGCCCAGGCATCCCTCACCTTACGTGTGCTTGTTTCCAATTACTGCAAGGCACTCCTCCAGGAAGTCACTGACCCGTGCTTTCAGAAAAGGACAGGGAATCGTTTGGAATCACCAGATCTTGGAATCTCTCATTTCAATCAGAGGAGGGTTACTGCACCTTTAAAGAAAGACACAAGCCCATTTTAGATGGAGGCAGTAGCGCCCAGGCATCCCTCACCTTACGTGTGCTTGTTTCCAATTACTGCAAGGCACTCCTCCAGGAAGTCACTGACCCGTGCTTTCAGCCACTAATTAAAGTTTTAATACTGATTAAAATGTTTTATTATTCTATTATGTTAAACTGCAGTGGTCTCCAACCTCATTAATGGATACAGGCTAGAAATCACTCAGGAGTTTCAGCTGCCCAGTTTAACAACCCAGCGACTGCCAGTGTTTGATTTAAGCGCAGTCTGACCAAGCACCCTTCCCTTCCGCGTCAGCATGCAAGTGCAGGAGGATGTCGAACATTGTTTAATGAGTATTTACGGAATATAAAATTGTTTGAGCATGTGACATCTCCATCTCTTCGGTAATTTACCTTGGTACAACTGGAAAGGGAAAACATTTAAATCATTTGGAATTGGAACACAGCTCAGCTGTGAAAGCTAATCTCATTACACATCTTGATTAAATTAAATGTGGAGTTTGCTATCGGTAGCAGTTTAAGTTTCCCGTCATTAGAAATTAATTGCAGTGGTAATTATTACAACTGAGTTATTTGCACAGCCCACAAACACTCTTTAGGTCTTCAAATGTTAATTCAACATTGGCCTAGAGGCACTTGATTATTACAATTCTGGTTTTCGTAAGAAACAAATGATCCTGGTGGATGTCTAATTAAAGTTGGAGAGTACCGTTAAGACTTTCAATCAGACTTAATCTCCAATTTCAGTATAAAACCAAAGCAGAGCTAAAACACAGCAAAAGTCATGTGTTATCTACACAGCATTTAGAAAATCAGTACAATTCACAAAGTTCTAGCCGGTAAAAAGACAAAAGTCTACAAACAAATCACAAAATTCTCAGGATTGAGGCCTGTCTTGACTTAATCTTCCATGTCAATTAAAAATAGCTGAGTCTGTTTTTTAGGATAAAGGGCAAGGACACAATGATTTTGTGCTAATGTATATAGCTTTGTGTCTGAAATAGTGTAAAGCAAAGCTCTAGTACCTGAAGATATTTTAAATACCTAAGTTTCCTGAAAAAAGAGATGAATTTTCCTTTTGCAAGGTTGGCAGTGTTCAATTTTAGTATCCTACTCCTGGATTCACATGGGGAGGAAAAAGGGATCCCCTGTAGTTTGGAAAGGAAATACAGAAAAGAGTGTTGTGAGAATCCAAGCTGAGAAATTTGTTGGTTTGCCTGTTCTGAGCATTTTACGAGGATACAAACATGCAACGTGTATCAAGCATGCTCCAGCCTTCATTCTCATGAGAAATACATAACCCTCCATCATTAAGTGCTTAACGATTAAAACAGTATGTTTCTGTGTCACTAAAAATGCTGGACAGTGACTGACTTTTTACTCTTCACACTTCAGTCACACTCACAAGCTTGGAAACTCCTATCTGCATACATTCCCAAAGAATTCCAAAAAGAGGCACTGAAAGAGGACGAGGATGTGTCAGAGGATCAGACTGTAGACAAATCCTAATCTTTGTGAGTAGTGTAAGGACTCCCAGAGATAACGCGTGTGGTGCAGGCGCAGCGTGGCCTGCTTGCTCTGAATTTCGGTCCGTTTGCAGTGAAGATCCCAGCTGCTGAGCGCCGCTCCCTAGGCTGCCCTGGTCACCTGGGCTGCTCCCGTTCTGCCTTTCCTTCGGGTAAAACTGGAAAGCAATCCCATCCTAGCTATTTGGAAGGTCAGACTTTATCATTGAAATGGTCCCTGCTAGCATTTATTTACAAATCTATGAAAATTTTGGCAACATCAAGAGCGTTATCAAAACTAAACTGTCTAAAAAAAAATGAGAATCAGAGAAATGAAACAAGAAGCCATCAGTGTAGAACGTCTTACAAATGTAACCTGTTCGTGAACGTCTGCCTTTTCTGCTGTGGGTCCCAGCATCAAAATAGGGAACGCGACGCCACGGCTGGGAACACTATTTATGCTGGGCAAGTCTGTAAACATGGAACGTTTTGTTCTGAAACACTCTCGTGAAGCGGGCGGTGTAACCAGGCAGGTTTTTTTTAATTTCCTCACAGAAGCGAGGGTACGATGAGGGTTTCAAATCAGGCTCATTCTCTCCCAAACCATCCATGATCTGTAATGAAATCGAACAGACTGGTGAAACATCTGCGGCCAAGTCACAGGCAGCAACAGGAAACTAACCACCTCGACAGCACCTCCAGCGGGTCCGGCTGGCCAGATCTCTTAACCGGGACTACGGAACAAGCAGGAGGTTAAACCGCAGGATTTGTCACCACGGTCTCCATGCTGGATGAAGCTGATTTGCCAGGGCTATGTATCTGCTTCGGGTTATGGGGGCTGCTGCGGTCCCACGTTAGCCCC